CAAAGGGGAATGTCTGCATGTGAACAGAGCGTTGCTACAACAGTCAACAACACAGACTGCAGAGCAGAATGTGATGTTTCTGTAGATTATTTTGAGTCTCTATCAGAGAGGTGAAGAGTCAGAGTTCAAATAATATTGTTTCAATAAACAAAGACCAGAGAGTTTTCTTTCTTAATGAGTTCCCCTTTGATGTCACTTCCTGTTTCAGTTTAGCTGAGCCAAGTTCAAAAGAAAATATGCCATTTGTGAGACAAAATGAGTTAAATCTTGTGTATTGTTCCCATTTTCTTAAATATAAAGATGTTTGACTTTTTGTATTCGAAGAATATGCATGTCACAGGTACTTTAAAGAAGTGAGAAAACTAAGATTGTCTCCACTAAAAATTTGCGTTTAATAACTAATTTAGTTGCTTTTTAATAATAATTGACATATTTTGTATATTAAAGCTGTTATTTAACTATAAGTAGTTTAAGATGTGACCTTTTTTTTGTGCAGGAAAGTTTGTCGGAACTGCAAATGTGGCCTTACGGAACATGACGTGCAGATGATTTCTGAAGAAAGCCAGAAAGTTGGGAAGCTGTTTGAAGACACCAAGTACACAAGCCTCATTGCCAAACTGAAAACTGATGGCATCCCTGGCTACCAGGGCAACATGGTGACCATCACTCTGCCCAGCCCCTCCACTGCTTACACCATGTCCCTCAGTGCCTCATCTACTGTGGTGCCCCCCTCGGCCTCTGCAGGTTCTGTTCACCCTGCAGGGGCCTCTGCAGGCTCTGTTCACCCTGCANAGCCTCTGCAGGTTCTGTTCACCCTGCAGGTTCTGTTCACCCTGCAGGTTCTGTTCACCCTGCAGGAGCCTCTGCAGGTTCAGCTTCCATTAGTCCTCAGGTACACACTCTTGGTCAGGGCCAGCCTCAGCCTGCATCAGCTACCATCACTCCTGTCAGGGCCAACAAGGTTCCAGTCTCTGAGGCCACAGCAGCCAGTCTGGTTCCAGTCTCCAAAGATGTGCCCATGAAGCAGGTCACCTATGAGTGGGCCCCTCCAGTTGCCAACAAGTATCTGGTAAGAGTTCATACTGAAATACTGTCTCCTAAAAACTATTTTTTTTCCTCCAAATCCCCCAAGAACCTAGCCTGGCCCTTGCCTTCCTACACAGTTCTGCTCAATTCTAGTTTCCCTTCACTGCTCCGTCTGGGATTTCTTCCATAGACAAGGATTTCTTCAGGAGAATTTCACCTGGGCCAATCAGAGAACAGAAGGAGGAGTTTTGAACAATGTTGATTTTCTGCGCAATGTCTGCTAGTTGTTTTAGCATACGGCAGTGGAGGAAGTGAATGAAGCCAGTCCGTGTTGATAAGGATTCAAATTAAATTAAATTTGTCTGACAAAGCAGCAGCTCTCATTTACAGCCGTCTCGTTTGGCTCGGTACTTCTCTCCTCTCAGTAGGGTTGTTTACAGCAGGGGTTCTTAATCCTTTTGACCTAGGGGCCCAATTTGTTCAACATAAAGTGACACAAGACCCAGTCACACATTACCATACGGATCAAAATGATAATTATTCTAAATCTTGTTTTAATTTGTATTGTATTTGCATTATAACTAAATAAAATACACTAAAAGTAAAACTCCTGTCAAATAATCACAAAACATGATTATGACAAACATTTTTTTAATAATGTAACCTGCCCATAACAATTATTTGAACAATTACAACTGTCAGTCAACAGACCACTCAGGCTTATCAACACAAAAATAAGCCATCCATCCATCCATCCATCCATCCATCCATCCATCCATCCATCCATCCATCCATTTTCTGTGCACGCTTCTTCCTTTCAGGGTTGCGTGGGTCACTGGTGCCCATATCCAGCAGTCACAGTGCGAGGAACGGGATAAACCCTGGACAGGTCGCAAGTCCATCACAGACAAAAATAACATTTTTTAACATAAACAAAAACAAAAAAAATAGACAATTCAATAAATAAAATTGTGATCATAAAATACATTCAAAAGTATATCATGTAAATGTTCCAAATAAAAAAACTGTAAAAAATAAATTTGATAAAGTGCAAATGAAAATAAAGCCTTTTAAAGCTTTTTCATGGTAGAACCAGAAGCTGCTTTTCATATTAGTGACAAACAATAACGGTAAAAACAGCTTTTTGACAAAATGCTTAAAAATAAATTACAAAAAATAAAGTTGATAAAGTGCAAATTAAAATATAGCTGTATCTGCAACTGTATTTGATAATGTTTTGAACTTTTAAAATATTGTATGATAGAAACAGAAGCTGCACTTTATATTAGTGACAAACTTTGGCATTTTATGATGGGTTACCTTCATTTTTGCTTCCACTTTTAATTCAAAATAAGTTTCCATTCTCAGCAGGTTTCTAAGTTTCTTCTTCTACATATTAAAAAAGTTGTTAAACATCTGAGTGGCGCACTACCGCTACTAGTGGTGAGAAAGTGTATTGCACCTTATTCAAAATCAATGCGGTCCCACGGCCCTCTGCGGCCCAAAATTAAAAACTGTTGTTCTTTTGAGGCCCTCAAGGTGGCGCTCGTGGGCCACAGTTTTGGCCACGGCCCATAGGTTAAGAATCTCTGGTTTACAGCGCACGCAATATCCTGTTAGCTTCTTTGCTTGGCCTCTTTCACGGTCAAGCTGACGCACACATGTCATGGCCAACCATTAGTGACTGGGTAAATCAGATCCAATCATTTTAAACTTGAACAGAGGCCACGCCTCCAGCAAGAATAGCTTCTCTATAGCCGAGAGCCCAGACCCTCGTATGAAGCAAAGTGAAGGGCACTACCAAGAACTTGTTTCCAAGTAATATGGCTGCCACAACCTGATGATGAATGATCTCAGCACATTATCAGATTCCTGCTTTTTAAGGTACATTTTGATCCCTGGATCATCCTGAGATCTGTATATTAGATATTTCATTTAAAAGACTGGTAGATAAGGGATTTATTCATTCTATTTTGACAAAATGCAGTTGTTGCAAATTAATTCATGCATTATAGCTGCCTGTTTCTGCACTTTGAGACTTAATCCTCAGTCTGACATGATGGGTCACAAATGTCAAATGAGTCACTTTTACTGGTAATTAGTTAGAATTTGATGTGGTGGTAGCTGGAAGCCATATAACATATGTGCTCCAGGAAATACTCATCGCACCGTTAGAGATATTTTCCTCACAGTTTGACTCTTTTAAATTGATTTTAATGAAACTCCTAAAGTTTTATTTGGATGCACATCTACAATTGATTTAATGTCCAAAGTTAATCCAGTTCTGCAAAAATGTGCATAGCTCAGTCTAATTTACAAATATTAAATTCTAGTTTGATGTGGAAGCTGAGATTATCCTCACAGTTCTAACATATCTCTCAAGACTGTGCAGAACATTTCCAAAGTTTGATCAAAAATGATCCCAACTTTCAGTTTTCATCATAAAATGAGTTTATGTTAAGGGAGGGGGGGGGGGG